TATAAATAATAATAATTAATAAAATAAATAACCCAGAAACAAAAATAACCACATTACTGGGGGTTGCCTGGGTGGCACAATTGTTTAAACATCCAGAGTTTTGGCTCCGCACTCAGCATGGTCTGCTTGAGACTCCCTCCCTCTACCCTGCCCTGACCCCACTTGTGCTCTCTCTTTCAAACAAATAAAATCTTAAAAAAAAAAAAAAAGCACATTACTGGCTTGGGAGGGTAGCACACCCTCTGGCTGGCTCACGTACATACCCCATCTCAATCATTCTTATGTTAGCCCCATAAAATGGACTTAAAAAAAAAAGTTGCCAAAGCAGCAGAATACACATTTCTCTCAAATGTCATAGAGCATTCATCAGGACAGATTGTATGCTAGGCCACAAAACAAGTCTCAAGTTTAAAAAGATTGAAATCATTCAAGCATCTTTTCTGACCATAATGGTTTAAATCTAGAAATCAATTACAAGAAGAAAACTGGAAAAATCACAAATACATGGAGATTAAACATGCTACTTAACCAATAGAACAAACAAATCAAGAAGAAATAAAAAAATACATGGAGACAAATGAAAATGGAAATACAACATACTAAACTCTATGGAATTCAGCAAAAGCAACTCTAACAGGGAAGGTTATAGCCATACAGGCCTACCTCCAGAAACAAGAACATTCGCAAATAAGTATCTAACTTTACAACTAAAGGAACTAGAAAAAGAATAAAGCCCAAAGTTAGTAGAAGGAAATAATATAGATCAGAGCAAATATCAATGAAATAGAGACTAGAGAAAAGATCAGTGAAACTAAGAGCTGGTTCTTTGAAAAGATAAAATTGATAAACCCTTAGCCTGACTCATCAAGAAATAAGAAAGGGCTGGGGCATCTGGCTGGCTCAGTCGATAGAACATGTGACTCTTGATCTTGAGGTTGTAAGTTCGAGCCCCACACTGGGTGTAGAGATTACTTAAAAATAAAATCTTAAGAAAAAATAAGAGAGGGCTCAAAAAATCAGAAATGAAAGCTGAGAATTTACTACTGATGCCACAGAAATACAAAAGATCATGAGAGACTGTTATGAATAATTATATACCAACAAATTGGACAACTTAGAAGACATGGATAAATTCCTAGAAGTATACAATCTTCAAAGATGGAATCAGGAAGAAATAAAAAATCTGAATAGACTGATTACTAGTAAGAACATAGAATCAGTATTAAAAAACTCCCAATGAAAAGCCTAGGACTAAGACATCTTTACCAGTGAATTCTACCAAACATTCAAAGATTTGATACTTACCCTACCCTTCTCAACTCTTCCAAAAAACTGGAGAGAAGGGAATGCTCCTAAACTCATTTTATGAAACCAGCATTACCCTGAAAACAAAACCAGAGAAGGACATCACACACACATACACACACACACACACACACAAATTAGGGGCCAATAGTCCTAATGAACCTAGATACAAAAATCCTCAACAAAATATTAGCAAACTGAATTCAACAACACATTAAAAAGTCATATACCATGATCAAGTGGGATTTATTCCAGGGATGGAAGGATGGTTCAATATTTGCAAATCAATCAGTGTGATACACCATTAACAAAATTAAGGATAAAAATCATATGATCATTTCGACAGATGTAAAAAAGGCATTTGACAAAATTCAACATCGATTTATGATACAAACTCTTGACAAAGTGGATATAAACAGAAGATGACGTATCATAATAAAGGCCATATGTGACAAGTCCATAGCTAACATCATACTCAACAGCAAAAAAGCTGAAAGCTTTTCCCTTAAGATCAAGAGCAAGATAAGGATGCCCACTCTCACCACTTTTATTCAACACAGTATTGGACTCCTAACCAGACCAATAAAGCAGGAAAAAGAAGTAAAAGGCACCTGAATTTAAAAAGGAAGAAGTAAAACTATCACTATTTGTGGACATGATATTATATATAGAAAGCCCTAAACACTCCACCAAAAAACTACTATAATAAATAAATTCAGTAAAGCTAGAGGGTACAAAATTAATATACAAAAATATTTTACATCTTTATAAATTAACAACAAACTAACAGAAAAATCCCAAATAGGCAAAGCAATCCTGAGAAAGAACAAAATTGAAGGTATCACGTTTCCTAATTTCAAACCAAATTAATCAAAACAGTATGGTATTGGCATAAAAACAGACACATAGATCAATGGAATAGAGAGCCCAGAAATAAACCCAAGTATATATGGTCAATCAGTTTATGACAAAGGAGGCAAGAACATACAATGGGGTAAGGGCAGGCTCTTTAATAAATGGTGATGGGAAAACAGGACAGCCACATGCAAAGAATGAAACTGGATCACTACCTTACACCATACACACAAATTAACTCAAAATGGACTAAAGACTTGGGCGCCTGGGTGGCTCAGTTGGTTAAGCGACTGCCTTCAGCTCAGGTCATGATCCTGGAGTCCTAGGATCGAGTCCCACATCAGGCTCCCTGCTCAGCGGGGAGTCTGCTTCTCCCTCTGACCCTCCCCCCATCATGTTCTCTCTCTCTCTCATTCTCTCCCTCAAATAAAATCTTTAAAAACTTACTCATTAAAAAAAAAAAATGGACTAAAGACTTGAATGTAAGACCAGAAACCATAAAACCCTACAAAAAAACATAGGCAGTGAGCTCCGTGACACTGCTCTTGGTGATATTTTGTTTGGATCACACTCCAAAGGCAATGGCAACAAAACTAAAAATAAACAAATGGAACTACATCAAACTAAAAAGCTTCTATACGGGGAAAAAAAAGTCAACAAAATTAAAAAGGAACCTAATGAATGGGAGAAGGTATTTGCAAATCACATATCCAATAGGGGTTAATATCCAAAATATAAAGAACTCATATAGCTCAGTAACAAATAAAAATAATCCAATTAGAAAATGGACAGAGGATCTGAAGATACATTTTTCCCAAGAAGACATTCAGATGGCCAACACATACATGAACAGAGAGATACTCAACATCACTAACCACAATGAGATATCACCTCACACCTGTCAGATTGGCTATTATCGAAATAACAAGTGTTGGTGAGAATGTGGAGAAAATGAATCCTCATGTATTGTTAGTAGAAATGTAAATTTCTACAGCCACTATGGAAAAGAGTATGGAGGTTCTCTAAAAAAGTTAAAAATAGAACTAAAATCCAAAATTCTATTTCTGGATAGTTATCCTAAGAAAATGAAAACACTAATTTGAAAAGATATATGCAGCCCTATGTTCAGTGCATTATTTATAATAGTGAAGATATGGAAACAACCTAAGTGTCCATCAATGGATGAATGAAGATGTGGTACAACAGAATACTACTCAGCCATAAAAAAGAATGAAATCTTGCCATTTGCAATAATATAGATGGACCTAGATGGTATTATGCTAAGTGAAATAAGTCAGACAGAAAGACAAATGCATGGAATCTTATATGTGGAGTCTAAAAAAATAAGCAAACAGAACAAAACCAAACAAAACTCAAAGATACAGAGAGTATGTTGGTGGTTGCCAGAGGGGAGGGTGTTGGGGTAGGTGAAATGTGAGATGTGGACCAAGGGGTACGGAGTTATATAAATAAATAAGTCATGGAGATGTAATGTGTGGTGACTAGAGTCAATAATATTATATTGCAAATTTGAAAGTTGCTAAGAGTAAATCTTAAAAGTTTGGACCACAAAAATTTTTTATAACTTTATATGGTAACAGATGGTAACTAGACTTCCTATGATCATTTTGCAAAGTATACAAATGTCCCAATTGTTACACTGTACACCTGAAACTAATATATTGTATGTTAATTATACTTCAATTTTTATAAAGGTACACAAAATCTTTTAGGGATTAGAAATGGCTCCCTTTTGGAACATACATACTCTTTCAACAAAGAAGTACATTTCCTAATAAACAGCAAACTGTCTGAGAAATTTTGGAATTCCCACAATTGGTGTTTTTGGGAAAGGCTTATGACTGGTTATTTTTATTTTTTGCCCTCTGTCACTTACATCAAATATTTTCTCCTGTGAAAAGAGCTGTTGCCCTAAGGCAACATAAAGTACTCTTGAGAACAAAGAACAAAGATGGACCAATTTGCTCCCCCCATCCTCCAGGAAGTAATTAAGAAGGCCCAGAGCAATTCCATGCAATACAAAGGCCAGATTCACTAACAAATGGTTTGGATGCTGTTTGGGTCTTTTCAAACATATGGAGTATCTCATTCAAGTTACTTAAAAGAACATCAAATTTAGTATGAGAAAAAATTAAGGCATGTGTGAAGGGCATTACACACATTAGTTTTGGTTTTTTTCTTTAAGCTTTCCTTGGAGTGCCTACAATACTCTAAATACCCAAGCTGAATTGGAAAAAAAGTTATATACACAAAACAAATTATTTTTAATTTACTTTTTAGGTAGTTGAAAAAAAATCCCTGAACTCTAGCTGGTGATATGTGCCATATTAATGCCACTATATCTTAAAAGTACATAAAACAGGACGAAGGACCACGTGCTTGTTTACAGTAAAAGGGCATCAAAAAGTCAAAAGAAAGTAGTTTTCATGACTGAGGAATTACTACCTAACTCTAAACTTGAGTATTTTTTCTATAGGAAATTCACAAATATGATGCAGTATACTGAAAATCAATCACATACATTTTCCCACTAAATAATAAAAAACAGTAGAGCAACCATTAAAGTTTTAAAGGTTAGTTCCAAGTGTTAATGTGTGGGTGTATGTCTGTAATAGAAACTTCCAAGGTACCCTTAGTTCTCAATATTTAATATTTGAGTGAAACTAAAGAATGTTGTCATGTCATGATGTCTTTGAACTCTAAAAAATTATTTGTAAACCTAAGTGGATTTGCACTATCCTACTTTGATGACCACTTGGTAATATGGTCATAATCCTGCTTTTGATAGATCAAAAAAAGTGAAAACCATCTCCATTTTATACTTTATTTAAAATTAATAAAATGATAAACACAATTACAGGTAAATGGCAATTCAGTACATTTAGTTGGACAATAAATTAAAAAATTACATATTCACAAGGACACAGATCCTTTACCAACATCGAACATTTTAGTCTATGTAGTCAAAGTCTTCTGGAATTCCAAAGTTTTTATCAATTTTATTTTCTTCGAACCCAAATTTTCTTTTGGCCCAAGATTTTATTGCAAATATATTATCTAAAAGAAAATTGAGAAATATTTATAAGAATTGAAAACATAATCATAAAACATGTCAAATATAATTATATTCCTTTTTTGTTACTTCTATTACTTTCAGAAGTATCAACATAAGAAGTGTGCTTTATTTTGAAAAGTAATAGCAATTCATTTCTGAAGAAAGAAAATACTTTAATTAGTATTTTGAGCAACCAGATCGCATATTTAAAAATTCAGCAAATTAGTTGCCACTAAAAAATACCTGACTTAAGAATAATCCAAAAACAGGGAAAGGCTAACAATGGTGTTTCTTCCACATTTCCACAGCAGAGGCCAGGACTCTTACCTCAGGAATTACAATTGCTCCTGTTGTTCCCAAAGGGTACACATTCTCTCCAGACCTTTTTCATTTCCCCACAGATAATAACGCTTTCCAGATAATCAGGCCAGTGTGAGGGAGAAGGGAAGAGAATAGAAGGTAGTTCTCCTCTATCTGAAGACTAAGATAGGAGTAGATGTATCCTTTGTGTCCTCTAGGGGGGTATTTAAAAAGCATTTTGCCACTGAAGAAGTGTTATATCTACTTATAGGAATTTATCCCAAGGAAACAAAATAAATTGTGTACAAAGATTTATGGTTAAATCTTTATTCCAATGTAATAAAAGAAAAAAATAAAAGCAATCCAAATATCTAATCTCATTTATTATACTTCGCTTTATTGTACTTCAAAGATAGTGCAGTTTTTACATATTGAAGGTTTATGGCAACCATGTGTCGAGGAAATCTACTGGCACCATTTTTCTAATGGCATTTGCTCACTTCATATATTATGTCACATTTTGGTAATTTTCACATATTTGAAACTCTTTCGTTAATATTATTATATTTGTTCTGGTGATCTGTGAGCAGTGATCTTTGATGTTATTATTGTCATTGTTTTGGGACACCACAAACTGCACCTATATAAGATAGCATACTTAATAAGGTTTTGTGTGTCTGTCCCACCAACTGGCTGTTCCCCTGTCTCTGTACCTTTCCTCAGGCCTCCCTATTTCCTGACACACCACAACAGTAGTATTAGGCCAATGAATAAACCCTATAACGGACTCTAAGTGTTCAAGTGAAAGAAGAGTTGCACATCCCTCACTTTAAATCAGTAGCTAGAAATAATTAAGCTTGGTGAGAAAGCCAAAACAGGCTGAAAACTAGGCCCCTTGTGCCAGACATTCAAGTCGTGATTGCAGAGTTCATGAGAGAAATTACAAGCACTACTCCAGTGAACACATAAATGATAAGTGAAACAGCCTCATTGCTGATACAGAGAAAGTGGAGTGGTCTGGATAAAAGATCAAACCAGCCACAACATTCCCTTAAGCCAAAGCCTAATGCAGTGCAAGGCCCTAAGTCTCCTCAGTACTGTGAAGGCTGAGCGGTGAGACTTGGAGAAGCTGCAGAAAAAAGAGCTGGAAGCCAGCAGAAGGCGGTTCATGAGGTTTAAGAAGCCATCGCCCTAACATCAAAGTGCAGGATGAAGCAGCAAGTGCTGATAGAGAAGCTGCAGCAAGTTCTCCTGAAGATCCAGCTAAGATCATTCATGAAGGTGGCTACACTGAACAACAGATTTTTAATGTAGATGAAACAGCTTTCTACTGGAAGATGATATCATCTAGGACATTCATAGCCAGAGAGAAGTCAGCGCCTGGCTTCAAAGAACAGGCTGACTTTCTTGTTAGGGGCTAATGCCCCTGGTGACTTTCACTTGAAACCAGTGCTCATTTACCATTCTGAAAATCCTAGAGTCCTTAAGGACTCTGTTAAATCTACTCTGCCTGTGCTCTAACACAACATCCATTCTGTGGCCCATGGATCAAGGAGTACTTTTGACTTTCAAATCTTATTTAAGAAATACACTGCATAAAGCTATAGTTGCCATGGATAATAAGTGATTCCTCTGATGAATGTGAGCAAAGTAAATTAAAAACTTTCTGGAAAGGATTCACCATTCTAGATGCTATTAGGAACATTCATGATTTATGGGAAGATGTCTGAATATCAACATTAACAAGTTTGGTAGAAGTTGGTTCCAACTCTCAAGAATGACTTTGAGGAGTTCAAGACTTCAGTGGAGCAAGTAACTGCAGATGTGGTGGGAATAGCGAGAGAACTAGAATTCAAGGTGGAGCCTGAATGGGACTGAAATGCTACAATCTCATGGTAAAATCTGAAGGGATGAGGAGTTGCTTCTCATGGATGAGCAAAGAAAGTGATTTCTTGAGATGGAATCTACTTCTGGTGAAGATGCTGTGAATACAGTTGAAATGACTAATAAAGAATTTACAATGTTAGATAAACTTAATTGATAAAGCAGGGGCAGGGTTTGAGAACAGACTCCCAATTTTGAAAGTTCTACTGTGGATAAAATGCTAACAAACAGCATCACCCACTACAGAGAAATCGTTCATGAACGGTGTAAGACAGGGATAAAGCGTGTTACAGGTACTCTATTAGGTAGAGAGTCTAGGCCTTCAAGCTGACACGAGAGAGAGAAAAATCAACTTATTACTAAATAATTCTAAAGTGTTATGTATGTTAAAGAGAAAAGATCAAGTATTATGTGTACAGCTTCCAGAACAGGCTCCAAGAGCACAGAAAGCTTGCCGGGAAATGAGAGAACAGATGCAACAATGCAGGAAACTTGAAGGAATGGACTTCAAACCTGGACCAGGAGAGAAAAAAAATCCCATACCCATGAGTAGTACTCCACATTCCCTTTTCCCCCAGCTCCTGGAGACAATTAATCTACTTTCCATCTCAATGAATTTCCCTATTCTGGACATTTCATATAAATGAAATGATACAATACGTGTCTAGCTTCTTTCACTTAGCATCATGTTTTCAAGGTTCATCCATGTTGTAGCATGTATCAATACTTCATTCCTTTTTATGGTCAAATAATACTTCATTGTATGGGGGATATACCACATTATGCCTTCAAGACAATGTTACCTGAAATCTTGATAATTCATTCCTCGTCAAATAAAATGTTCCTATTATGTGGAAATTTTTATAAATGGATAAGAAATAGTGTTTGTTTGTTTTTCCTTTAAAGAAACAGCCTTAAGACTAGCAGGATTTCTGTTCATTTCCATGGTGGCATCCTCAGGATATATGCAGAAATAGGATGGGCAATATCATAAACATGAGTCTGTGTTTAGGACCTCACAACATCTATCCCCCTCCTCACTCATTGAGATGCCTCTCACACAAAGTCATAAAAACTCCACTATCTTAAGTATTAAGCAAGGTTTTATAGAAAGTTGTTAAATCACATTTAAGGTGTATTTAATGCCATACATAAATCATTTAGATGTGATATTTCTAGTTATATTTATACCCTAAGGTAAGCTCTCATTTTATAAAACTGAAATACTGAATTACTGAACAGTAAGTATCTTCCATTCTACACACATTTTAAGGGCCTTTTTAGGTAAAAGGAAAGCAAACCCTTAACTAATAAGTAGGTAACAATCTTTAGTTACAAATATTATGGATGTTTTCTTTTTGTTTTGAAGAGAGGTTGGTTTTCTGAGGTGTAATTTGTTTTAACTCCATGATTTTCATAACACTTTTATGTTGGAAGGAGCAAGTTGTAACTTCAAATGGAAATATGGTTCCTTTTTTTTTTTTTTACTTTTTTTATTACAAAGTATTTTTTTTTATTAACATATAATGTATTATTTGTTTCAGGGGTACAGGCCTGTGATTCATCAGTCTTACACAATTCCTAACAGCTGTTTCTGCTGTGCTAAAAATATCTTCCTTCCTATATGATTTTAAAAGTTTCAGGTTCTTTCTCAACTAATAACGTAAGGGGAAAATGAAGTTCAAAATGTTCCTTTTTTTCATCATAACTGGACGTTTATGATCAAGTGCAAAACATGAAAGGATTTTTTTAAGAGAAGAATGGGAAAGGGGAGTATTTATTTATCTATGTATCTAACATTGTGTGAAAGGGCTTACAAATTGTTTTATTTAATTCTCCGAAAACGTAAGGTAGATATAATCTACACAGAGGAAGCAGGTTCAGAGAAGTTCAATAAGTGATACAGCAGCTAAAGAACACAATCCGGATTCCTTTCAAAGTCAAGTTCTTCCCACCATATACACAGGCTGCTTGTTCCTACTGCTTGCTGAGCTGCTTTGCTGAGAAGTACTGGGGGAAATCACTTTCTTATTTTTAACCTACAAGTCCACTTGTCTTTTTTGCTCATTTAAAATTTTGTATTTCTCAAATTTAAATTGATATCACTGTATTTATTATTTATTTATACTTATTGGACACACATCTCATTCTTCTCTTTTCTTTAATGTTAGCTTGCTGTTTTTACCCTCTTCTGTTATCATTAAAGCATTACATTATTTATGAGATGAAATGTATTACTTTGTAATAAACAAGATTGCAATTTTATAGGAACCAAAGGCCAATTACAATGATTTTATCAATTAATTCTAAAATAGACAAGGAAACATGATTCTTAAATGTTTTGTGACATACAGAAGCCTGGACATGGAGTCAGGAAACCTGGCTCAAACCTTTGTACATCCAGTGACTAATCACCTTTGACTCAAGGCATCACTTTAAATTTTCTGCATCTGTGTCAATACGATCTTAACCATACTCTCCCAGAGAAATAGAATGATGATGAGTAGTACATGTGAAGGTATTATGGACTCTTACCAGGACGGTAAAAGTTCAGTTACCATTACTTTAGAACTAGAAAAACATCAGTGTTATTTGTAGATAGATTTTAACAATACTAATCATACCTGTATATAATTGACAACAATCCTTATTTTATTAACTTTCTTCTACACTTTAAGACACAGGGGAAAATGCCTTATTAATTCTCATTTCTTAGAACATCTCTGGTATAGACCAGAGGGTGTATCCATTGGCAAATGGATTAATGAGGCATTTATATGAAAGCACGTACACAGAGAAGACAATATCATGTAGTGGAAAGAGCTCTGACTCTGGGATCAGAAAAGTTGGATTCTAATTCCTGTTCACTGCCTAGCCCCTGTGTCACCATGGGCTCCTGATGGCCTCAGTTCCATCTCTAAAATTAGGGATGATAATCCTATTTGCCTCACAAGATTGTTGCAGAGATAAAACGAGAATGCACCACAGATACTCTTTGCAATGCCTGGCTTATAGTCCAGCCCTCAACAAATGTTAGCTGTTATTATTGTGAGCAAGAAGACAAATCTTCAGGATTCCATGAAATTCTTAAAGTTTTATCTTGCACTAATATCATGAAAGTTCAGTGATTAGCCCAAGTGACTTATCTAAGAAAAATTACACAAAAATTAAACTGCAAGCAGTCATTGGTTTTACAAAAATACGTTGTATTTTACATACAAAATGACTCATAGTAAGATTTAAAAAAAAAAAAACTTAAGTAACTGAAATGATTTAATGTAATGATTTAATAAAAACTTAATACAGGGATGCCTGAATGGCTCAGTCAGTTAAACGTATGACTCGGTTTCGCCTAAGGTCATGATCCCAGCGTCATGGGATTGAGACCCACGTCAGGCTCAGGGCTCAGTGCAGAGTCTGCTTGAGATTCTCTCTCTCCCTCTCCCTTTGCCCCTCCCCCTGCTCTCACGTGTGAGTGCTTTAAAAATAAACAAACAAAATCTTAAAAAAAAATATATACATTTCTGGAAAGGTCTTTTCTTGAACAAAACTAGGCAAAATAGCTTCTGCATTTCATATCATAGTAAGTGTGGAAAAAGCTTATCTATAGCTTAGCAGTACCATTATAATACATACCAGTCCATCTGTTAGCAGCTTCTTTGGCTACTTTATTTGCTTGACCTGAAAAAAATATATATATAAATAATCATATTCATGTATTTATAGACTCATTTTTTACATGAACAAAAGGTTATACAAAGAGGAGTTTATGTAAAAAGCTCAAATAGTGACACATGACATGTTGTATCCAACAATCCTGCTCAACTCCCCAAAAAAATTTTGGTTTCAATTATATTAGTCATGAATAGTCAAGGTAAACAATTTCCCTTTCCTAAATGTCCATTATTACTGTACGTGTTCCTTTAAAGATAAGTGTAAGATGTGTTTCTCAAATAATTTACAACATCAAGAGGATAAAATAATTTAAGTTTAATGGTAAGAATTTTAGAGTATATATTAGATTACAGTAAACCTGACCTTAAAAAAAAATTTATATTATACATCTTGTTATTAAATGTATCTATGTCTATGTCTTTCAAGTTAATCTACATAGCACATAACAGTCCCATGATCAACTGAGCATAAATACTATTTATTTATTTATTTATTTTTAAAAGATTTTATTTATTTATTCATGAGAGATAGAGAGAGAGAGAGAGAGAGAGAGAGAGAGGCAGAGGGAGCAGCAGGCTCCCAAGGAGCAGCGAGCCCGATGTGGGACTCGATCCCAGGACCCTGGGATCATGACCTGAGCCGAAGGCAGACGCTTAACCATCTGAGCCACCCAGGCGCCCGCATAAATACTATTGATTATGATGGCATTTATTCATTGAAAGATAATTTATATACTCCAGAATTCACCATATTAAAGTGTATAATTCGGCAGATTTTAGAACAGGATTGTAAAACCATCACCACTACCTAATTCCAGAACATTCTCATCACCCAAAAGAAAATCCCATACCCATGAGTAGTACTCCACATTCCCTTTTCCCCCAGCTCCTGGAGACCATTAATCTACTTTCCATCTCAATGAATTTCCCTATTCTGGACATTTCATATAAATGAAATGATACAATATGTGTCTAGCTTCTTTCACTTAGCATCATGTTTTCAAGGTTCATCCACATTGTAGCATGTATCAATACTTTATTCCTTTTACGGTCAAATAATATTCCATTGTATGGATATACCACATTTTGTTTAGTCATTCATCAGTTGATGGACATTTGGGTTGTTTATTGCTAATATGAATAATTTAATAATTTTTGTGTGAACATTTTTTTCAGTTCTCTTGGATATATACTTGGCATGGAACTGCTGGAACATATTGTAACTCTATGCATAACATTTTGGGGAAGAGCTAAATTGTCTTCCAAAGGGGCTGTATCATTTTAAGAATACCACCAGCAAACTAAAAGTTCCAATTTTCCCACATCCTCACCAACAATTATTTTCCATTCTTTTTATTATAGCCATCCTATGCATGTGAAGTAGTATGTCATTTTGGTTTTGATTTGCATTTCCCTAATAACTAATGATGTTGAGCATTTTTCCTATGCTTATTGACTATTTGCATATTTTCCTTGGAAAAACTAATACTTTGCCCATGTTTAAATTGGGTTTTCAAAAATTGTTCAGTTGTAATTTTTAAAAATATACACATTTTGGATATTGGACAGTTGTCAGATACAGGATTTACAAATATTTTCTTCTATTCTGTGGGTTTTCTTTTCACTTTCTTGGTAAGATACCTTGATACACAAAATTTGTTAATTTTAATGAAGTCAAATTGATCTGTTTTTCCTTTGTTTGTTTGAGCTTTTGGTGTCCTATCCAAGAAACTGCTGCCTAATCCAAGGATACAGAGATAAATACTTAAATTTTCTTCTAAGAGTTATATAGTTTCTTACATTCAGTTCTTTGATCTGAGTTAGTTTTTGTATATGGACTGAGATGGGAGTCCAGTTTGATTCATTTGCAACTGGTATGGATAACCAGTTATACCCAGCACCATTAGTTGAGAACACTATTTTTTCCTAATTAAATAGTCTTGGCACTATTGCTCTTAAAAATCAATTGGGTTTACTTCTGGACTTTCAATTCTATTTCTTTAACCGGCATGTCTACTTTTTTTTTTTTTTAAGTAATCTCTATACCCAATGTGGGGCTTGAACTCACCCCAAGATTAAGAGTCATGTGCTCTTCTGACTGAGCTAGCCAGGTGCCCCTGCATGTCTATTCTTATACTAGCACCACACTGTCTTGATTATTGTAGCTTTGTAGGAAGTTTTGAAATTGGGAAATTTGAGTCTTCCAACTTTACTGTTCTCTTTCAAGATTTCTTTTTAAAGATTTATTTATATATTTGAGAGACAGAGAGAGAGAGAGAGAGAGTGAGAGCGTGTGCACATGCACGCGGCGGGGGGGGGTGGCACAGAAGGAGAGAAGCAGACTTGGAGCTGAGCACAGAGCCCAACACAGGGATCAATCTCACAACCCTGAGATCACGACCTGAGCCAAAACCAAGAGTTGGTTGCTTAACTGACTGCACCACCCAGGCATCCCTCTTTCAAAATTCTTTTGGCTATTCTGGGTCCTTTGCATTTTCGTATGAATTTTAGGATCAACTTACCAATTCCTACCAAAAAGCAGTTAAAATTTTGATAGGTTTTACATCGAATCCCCGTAGGTCAATTTGAGGAGTGTTTCCATCTTAACAATAGTAAGTCTTTCTGTAAATACAGAATGTCTGTTTATAGAGGTCTTTAGTTTCATTCAATGTTTTGTAGTTTTCAGTATAAGTTTTGCACTTCCTTGACTAATTTTATTCTTAAGTGTTTCATTCATTTGTAAATACTTTTCTTAATTTCATTTTCAGATTGTTCATTGTTAGCATATAAGATACATTATTTTTGTATATTGATTTTTGTATCCTACAACCTGCTGACCTCACTTACTACTTAATGTGAATGTCTTTTATTTCTCTTTTTTGCCTAATTGCCCTGGCTTGAACTTCCAGTACAATGTTGAATAGAAGTGGTAAGGAAGGTCATCCTTGAGGAAAGCATATAGTCTTTTACCATTCAATATGATGTAAGCTGTAGATTTATTATAGATGCCCTTTTATAAATTGAGGAAGTTCACTTCTTTTCCTAGTTTTTTGGGTATTTGTATCATGAAAGGGTGTTGGATTTTGTCAAAATTTTTGTCTAATGAGACAAACATGCTGTTACTATCACAAATTACATTTTATATACTGCATGCCCAACAAAATACCTTATGATTATTGCTTTATGCAGCTGTATTTTAAATAAGAGAACCATAAGGTGATACAAACAAAAATACATATATACTGTCTTTTATATTTACCTATGAAGCAGCCTTCACCAGGTGCTTTATTTTTTCACGTTACTGTCCAGTGTCCTTTCACTTCAATGAGAAAGACTCCCATATTTTTTTAGGGCAGGTCTGCTAGTGACAAACTCTCAGTTGTTTACCTGGGAATATCTTACTTTGTCCTTCATTTTTGAAGGAAAATATTTCTGGATATAGAATTCTTGGTGGACAGTTATGTCCCCCCCTTCACTTTGAATATATCACCCCAATGCCTTTGGCTTCTATGGCTTCTAATAAAAAACAAATTGTTAATCTGATTGAAAATTCCCTGTGTATGATGAGTCACCTCCTTCTTGTTACTTTCCAGAGTCTCTGTTTATCTTTCGACAAGTTGATTATGGTGAGTCTATATGTGGATCTTTTTGAGGTTGTCCTAAATTGGAGTTTGTTAAGTTTTTTCTATGTATAGATTGTTTTTCATCAAATTTGAGAAGGGTTCAGCTTTTTTTTTTTTTTTTTTTTTTTTAAATATTCTTTCGGTCCCATTCACTCCTCTCTCCTTCTGGGACTTCCTTTATGTATACGTTGGCGCTCTTGATGCTGTGCCACAGGTCTCTTGAGACTGTTGATATTTCTTCATTCTTTTTTCTTTCTGTCCTCAGATTGAATTATCTCTGTTGAACTATCTCCAAGTCACTAATTCTTTCTTTTGCCTGCTCAAATTGGCTGTTAATCCCGAGTGAAATTTTCATTTCAGTTATGGTTTTCAACTCCAGCATTTCATTTGGTTCCTTTTTAATAATTTCTGTATCTTTGCCGATACTTTCTACTTGGTGAGTTTTCATTCTCAAACTTTCCTTCAGTTCTTTAGACATGTTTTTCTTTAGCTCTTTTAACATATTTTAAAATTGCTGACTGAAATTCTGGGCCTAGCAAGTCCAACATCATGTGCATGAACCATACTTTCTTTGAATATCTCGCAATTTTTTGTTGAAAGTTGGACATTTTAAGTAATATGATGTGGCGACTCTGGAAATCAGATACATCCCCCCCTTCCCAAGGTTGTTGTTTTTGGTACTTGTTGTTATTGTTTGTTTAGTGATTTCTCTGAACTAATTCTGTAAAGTCTGTATTCTTTGTTATGTGTGGCTACTAAAGTCTCTAGTTTGCTTACCAGGCATACTACAAGCCAGATCAAATAAGGACAATCCTTCCTATTGGTGGCTTTCAGAAAACCACCAAAGATGTCAAATAGTGACAATTTGGGGGAAATAAGGGTCTTAAAAAGCTCCAGCTCCATTTTACTCCCTCTGATACCAGGAATGCACGGCTGTTATTTTTCAAGGTTACTGCTGAGCTAGAGAGTAGGGGATGAGAATAGGACAAGTTAAAATACCATAAAGCTTATTATTCTTGCTGAGATTCAGCCATTTTTTCTTGAATAGGTAAATCACTGGTTAGTTTCTAGAATTCTGGAAAAGTTGTGACAATTTTTGCCAGCTTTCATGGAAGGGTAAGTTTTCATAGGTCCTTATTCCATCATTTTCACTGTCATCCTGACATTTCTAAGAAAATTTCTTAAGTACTTCTAAGATTTACTTTCAAGTATTTTTGTAGGAATTCAATTTTTACTACAACTTATTTTATCTGTTCTCACTTAAGTAATGGTCAGAGTAGCTAAAATTAAATTTTATTTTTTATACATTATTGCTTTGACTTCTCATTTCTCAGATATTTGCAACCAATCTTGCTAAAACTTATTTGAAATAGATATCAATAAGTCATCTAGCATGATGAAATATAAATATTTCCTGCAAGAATTATTGAGAAATAAGTAAGATTATACATAGCTATGCTACATGAATATAAAGGTTACAACTCTTATCAGAGGAACTGTTACAAAATAAACCATGACAGACTTAGAGATTAGTCTGACTGTTGTAACATGGGTGCAACAGCCACACTATTAAGAACCAAATCTTATTAAAATCAATTTGTGAAACTCATAATCCTTTAATCCAGTATAATCTGTTCTGCAATAACATGATAGCCCAAATCCTATGAAACCCCTCATTATCAAAAAGCATGTTTTAAAAACAATAATCTCTTTGGCAAAAGGAAATAATCTCATGTGGGGGAACAGAAGTTAAAATCTAAAAAAAATTCTCTAGATTTAGTAATAAGGAGATCGCTGCCATTTACTACTTAAATGTTTAAATTTCTTTGAATCTGTGGGTTTATAGTTTACATCAAATTTGAAAAAAAAATAGCCTTCATTTCTTCTGACAGTTATTTCTTCAAACATTTTTCAGGCCTGGACAAATGTACACACACACATACCCCACCCCAAGCATACACTCCTTTTGGGACTTTGATTACAAATATATTAGGTCACTTGAAGTTGTCCTACATGTCATGCTACATTCATTTAAAAAATTTATTTTTCCTCTCCAGTTTCATTTTGTATAGTTTCTACTGCTATGTCTTCAAATACACTAATCCTTTTTCTTGCAGCTTAATCTGCTATTAATTCAGTCCAGTGTATTTTTCATTTCAGACATTGTAGTGTTCAACTCCAGAAGTTTAACATGAAATCTTTTTTATATCTTCCATGTTTCTACTTAACTTTTTGAACATACACATTTTTTTTAAAGACTTACTCATCTACTTTAGAGAGAGAGAGAGAGAGAACACAGGCAGGGAGGGGGGGAAGGCCAGAGGGAGAGAATCCCCAAGCAGACTCCCCACTGAGCACAGAGGCCTGATGCAGGGCTCCATCTCACAACCCATGAGATCACAACCTGAGTCGAAACCAAGAGTCAGACGCCCAACTGACTGAGCAACCTAGGTGCCCCGATATGATACATTTATAATAGCTTTTAATGTTATTGTCTTCTAATTCTATCTGTGTCAGTTCTGGATCAGTTTTTGACTGAAGGATTATTGTTTTCACTAAGGAACATCTTTTCCTACTTCTTTGTGTGCCTGGTTATCTTTCATTATATGCTAGACACTATGAATTTTATTTTGTTGGGTGCTGGGTATGTTTGTATTTCTAGAAATATTCTTTAGCTTTGTTCTCAGATGCATATAAGTTACTTTGCAATAGTTTGATGTTTTCAAGACTTGGCTGTTATGGTTTGTTAGATGGATGGAGAACAAAGCTCAGTCTAGGGCTAATTAGTGCTTGCCAACTGAGGCAAGGTGTTCTTGAGTGCTCCACCTGATGCCTTGTGAATTATACATTCTTCCAATCGCCCTGGTGAGAACAGGCTTTATTCTTGGTCCTGTGTGTATGCCGGGTACTTCTTCCCACTAATTCTCTGAAATTGTTCTTTCCCCAGCTTTGGGTAATTACTTCACCTGCATTCACCGAATACTTGAGGGGAACCCTCTGTAGACACCCAGGGACCTCTTTCTGTGTAACTTCTCCTCTCTAGTATGCTGTCCTGTGAACTCTAGCCACACTGGTCTCCCTGATTCTCAGTTCCATTTGCAGGGCTCTGCCTAGGTTCTCCTTCTTTGTGCCACAGCCTGGAAATGCAATAAAATAAACCGACACAATTTTAAGACTTACTTTGTTTTCTTTCTCTAAGAATCATTGTCCTTTATTATCTGATATCACATAACTTTAAAACCTATTTCATATATTTTATGTGTTGTTTTTCAGGTGGCAGAATAAATCCCATCTGTTACTACTTTATCTTGCCTGGAAGTAGAAGTGTCACATTTGAATAAAATTTTATTTGTTAGCTGTTCTGAATTTTAAAACAGAGGAATTGGACATTTCTCTATAAAAGTATGAACTGAAGTTAGTCTAAAATTCTTTTTACAGGTGTTCAGGCTTTAATAAGATTTTTTTTCTTCTGATTATAGTTTGGTAGCTTTCCACAGGAAAAAATATCCTACCTACACATCTAAAATATATTTAGGGAATAACGGAATTATCCTACATAACTGCTGTCCATTAAATAAGTTGTAATTCTCTATAATTAATGTATTTTATTAAAATAGATAATATTTTTAACAGAGTGAAATAAAAATAATACAAAGCCAGGAAGGAAGGACCCTTATTCTCTCATTCCCCTATAAAGATCAGAAATGCACAATGTAAAAATGTCAAAAATGAATACACATGTAATGAATTCATCATTACAAAATTTTACAGGATCCAAATACAGATCTTATGTGACTACATAATTAAATACAAAAAGATAACCTAGGTCTGATGTTGATAAAAAATGATAAAGTTTCTTAACTCACTGTTACCCAGAAAACATTTTCTTCTCAATGACTTAGACCTCATAGCCTGCATCATTCTCATACACATTGACATGTTTTCCCTTAGGTTGAAAAATACCAACCATAAGGGTTAAGATGGAGAACAGAGGTCAGGGAACCAGTTATATGTTACAGTTGGAACTTCCTCCTCAACTATGCTATGCTACTCTCCAGAGAATTCATCATCATTTATATACCCTGAAATTTCTTCCATCAAGTTTCTTCACCTTTCTAAGAGGTGAGGAAATTGCCAAAATTGCTGATTGATTCAGAGATACAAGAACTGTAACATCTGAAATTACACGCCTGAAATAAAAGTTTTCCCTCTTCATGAATCAGTCTGGCACAATTCTCTACCCTTGTGGATTTTCTGCACCTCAAGATATCCACCAGCTTAGGATCACCATCAGTATAGGTCAGAGTAGTTTTGTAAGACTAAATAAGTTTTAGTGATTCCTGAGTGGACAGAAGTAATCAAAATTATGAAAAGGACTATAAAAATAGGAGGTCACAAGTAGAGGTGATCTCAGTCAGGGTCATGTCTCCAGGGAAAGAGCAATGGCAATATAACGGGGACAACAAAGTAGAAAAGCAGAAGCCTTGTGAGTTGTAGGTCCTTGAAAGAAAAGAGAATGAAATTGGGTAAGTAAAAAATTGGTATCATCAAGGAAAAAGTCCCCTAACACAAAAAACTGAAATCATGAAGGAAAGCAGAACCAAATAAGAGTAATATACGAAGGACCAGATTTCATAACTGCGAAAACAGAATTTTCGTGATGAAGAGCTAGAGGGCACAGCGACGCTGATCCTAAAACTAAATTACCTGAAGGCATTAAATCTGGGGAAGAAAACTGTTCTCAAAGTTTCTTTCATGACACATTTGATGTCTTCTTTAACAAGAAGCATACATTTCCTTTTAAAGATGATTCATGAGAAGGCCTAGCCTTCCCATAGCAACCTCCTACCTTGTCTCTTGTTGCTTTGATGTGCTTATGTTCAAGGAGGGTCATTTGATATTAGTTAAAACTTCAAGACTGATTAAAGTGGTTCATTTTGTAGATTTGGCTAGCACTTTATTCTGCAGGATGATGATAAATGAATTAATCTGTGGGCAGCATGAAAGAGCAAACACGTCTCTCTAAGTACTTGATTTACAGAAAATGACTGGCTCAGGGGAAGAGAGGTTATTCTGCCCCCACCTCTTTTTGAAAATCGCCCTGGGTAATCAGCAGAACCAGGGCCAATACACACCATCAACTAGACTGTGGACTACACGTATGTGATTAATGCCTCCTGCAGATGTACAAAGCAGCGACCTGTCTCTAAAATTAAGTTTAACTTTAGATTGCACAAACTGAACTGCTCAAATATTTTTTAATTGCAAAGACTACCATCAGGGACAACTTAATTGTCCTCCCCCTTAATCAAATTATTCTCAAGCTAATTTTAAAGTACCAAATATTTTTGATTTCTCTCAAAGCCTTCAATCACATACTATCAGTTTTTTTTTAAATAAACGTTCCACTAGGTAGAGTTCCCTAAATGAAAAGACAAGCTAAGACAGAAAAATGGGATGAAAGTTATACATATTTTCCTAAGCAATTACATGCAGTGTCCTTATAATATATTCTTTCACTTCCTTAAATATTCAGATTTCTATCTTTACATAAATATATAAAAATTATTCAAAACAAAGCTTTGGAGATTAGTTTTCAAGTAGAGGAAAACATTACTGGTATATTCAAAAGGCAAGTCAATGCACAGACTGATTTTCTGTAACTTGAAAAATCATAGTTTTGGTATTATCTCTCCTAGAAGATAATGGTGGGTTTCATTCTCGAGTCAATGTACTTGGGGCACCTTAACTCCTCTGACTCCTCAGTTTCCTAAACTTGTATTTTTTGTCTTTATCCTTCTACTTTATCTACCTTCCTTCTTCTTAAAATGCTTATGATTTCAAAGTTATCACTATTCAATGCCTTAAGACTCTTTAAAGGAAATATTAATGTAATATTAATACCATTAATGGCTTGATTTTCTCATATACATGAAGAATGGTTACTAGGTAACTAGAGGTATAAAGTCTCTTTCATTGACAAAGTTAAAAACTTTCAAGGTGTGAGTCTGCCTGAGATTCTCTCTTTGCTCCTCCCCTCACGTGCACTCTAAGAAAAAAAAATTTTTTTTTTAATTAAAAAAAAAAGCGGGGGGAGCACCTGGGTGGCTCAGTCAGTTTGGCATCTGGCTCTTGGTTTCGACTCAGGTCATGATCTCAGGGTTGTGAGACTGAGCCCCGTGACTGGCTCCACACTGGACATGGAGCCCTCTGCTCCTCCCCCCACTCTCTCTCTTCCCCTCCCTCTAAAAATTAAAAAAAAAACATTAAAAAACCTTCCAAGTGTGATATAAACTTACGTATTTCTTCCACAACTTGTGGGTCACATTCTTTGTATTTTTCTACTTCTGCCTTTAGCTGTTCCCTTTGGTCTCGAAGTGAAGAAAGCTCTTTTGCTAGCATGGTTCGCTCTTCCTGCATTCAAAATAGTTTTATGTACAATTAAAACAAGCGAAATACCACGTGTTGTAAGGTTATACATTTTGTAAACATTTTCATTTTATTTCTCATAACTAATGTACACTAGGCTTTTGGACAGTATTACATATACACATACAACTCAACTCTTATTTTTCTCTGAAATCTCAAGCATCTTTCATATATTTTGACTAGTTGAATGGGAATTAATATGTAGAATGGACTGCTCATAAATAGATGATTAGCAAATCATCTATTAGATGATTATCAAATGTTAGGAAAAGATACTGCCTCTTAGTTTCATAAGATTGTGTCAATATATACAATATTTTATGGCAACATCATCATTATACAATTTTCCTTAAAAGTGTGATAGACAATTTTTCAACCTTTAAGGATGATTAGCCTTTAAAGATATTTAAAGATATCAGAAATAAGAAATTATTGTTAGTGGCCTCCTATCATTTTCCTTTAAAGGTAAACCAGAATAAAGCTTTTAAAACAACAAGATCCAATAAACACCATTTGAAATTTCTAGCCATAGTTCTAACAGGTAGAAGTCACAGTGCCATAGTTTTCAATTCATATGTGTGAACGGTTATGGTACAGATTCATAGGATAAGCCTGAAGCAGAGCCAAGTGGAGTTTAAATTGCCTTGATGGGACTTACTTAAGGTTTCTTGCTAGCTTATATTTTGGTGCTTGTATTTTTTGACTTTTGCCTGTAACTGTTCTCTTTTGTTGCAAAGAGAAGAAAGGCTCCTTTACTAGCATTTGTACAAGGGAATGCATACACAGAGCAGCATGGTCTGAAGCAGCATAGTCCAACAGAACTCTACAATGACAGAAACGTTCTAGATCTGTGCTCTCCAATGCAGGAAACATTAGCCACATGGGACCTACTGAGTATATGATATAAGGCTATTGTTACTGAAAAACCAAATTTAATTGCATTTATTTTAATTTAAATGTAAATAGCCACCACATGATTACAGTATATACTGTATTAGCACAACTCAGAAGAGATTTAAAAATAATGATAATGTTAAGATTGTTATTATTTGCCATCCACAGCCAAATTATGCATGCTCCACAATGAAAAAAGAAAAGCAGCAAATGGTGAAGAATCTATGTGAAAGCAATGATAACTCTCCAGACACCCTGAACTGGGAGACATCTCAGACTGTTACTAGATCTTTGCCACGTTAATTTTTTGTGCCTTTAGTTTCTCAAATTAAAAATGGAGATAGTAATAGTGGCTACCTCCTTGCACTGTTGGCAGGATTCAATGAATATAAAATGCTCTGGGATAGTATTTGCCTGGCTCACAGAGAGCAGATTATGTATGTTAGCTATTTCTTCTTCTTCATCGTCATCAGCAGCAACATCATCACCATGAATAATGCCAAGTAAATGGGGGCTAGGTGTTTCTGAAAAATCCTGATTTGTGTGCTCAGGATGAACACAAGAGTTCATCTTTCTCAGGAGCCTTTCTAAACTACTATACTCCTCTGAGAATCTGCAGCACCCACAAGGATTTTTCCCAGGTACAATGGATCCAGGGGACTGGGTAACACTCAGCAGACAACTTCTGGGCATGAATATTAGTTGAAGGTGCACCTACAATTTATTGCCAACATTAAGGAAGAAAAAAAGGATCAAATAAAGAAATGGTAATCGCTACTGTCAATGAAAGAAATACAACAGCTTCAGGTTATGCCCAGATCTTACCTTCCCTTAAATATTCTTCAAAAATTACCATTCTCCACTTCCTATCTGTGACTGCTGACTATTCACATAAAAGAAGGTATGTGAAATAATTTTGAAAAGCCACTGTAAGCCTGTGGTGTATTCTTTTCTACAATGTGACTATTTTTGAGTCTCTTTCACAATTAAGTGGTACAAATAGAGGCCTAGATGGAATGCTTCATGGTGCATGTAGATATTTAATACTTTTTCAAGTCATAAATCCATACTTGAGATAATGATGAAACTAGAAAGTAAAGTGATTTTTAAAAACCCCTAACATAATACTTCATAATACTTTTTAAAATAAGTCAATATTCATTGAAATAATTTAGAAATATTACAAAGCCCCAAGGATAATATATTGATAGTTGTCAATTTGTTCTGTGCCAAGACTTAAAAAACATGACTCTTAAAATTTTACATAAACATTTATAAAGGGCTTACCTTGTACCAGGTACTCTTTTGAGTGCTATGCAATATTAGCTAGTTTAATCCATACAATAACCTAATGAGGTAGATTTTATCCCCTATTTTTACAACTGGGATAACTGAGAACAGAGAATTTAGGAGAGTTTCAAACCCAGGCTGTTTGGCTCAGGGTTTATGCTTCTATGCTATGTTGCCATATACAATATAATACAATAATAAAAAATAAACGTAGATTTACAATTAGTGAATCCTATCAGGTCCAATGTTCATGTCCTTTGCTGTACTCACCTCTCTTCTGGTAGGAATGGTACACTCCTCACAGGAAGCTCTAAGTTCTTACTCTTCTATTTACAATTGACATTATTAAAGAATCTACAAACTTACTGTTTCATGTCGGCCAATTTTAGCTTTCTCAATGCTTTTCTGCAGATTTGTGTGCTTTTGGTTTCCCTCAGATAACTAGAAAATTAAAACAAATAAAATGGCTTTCTAAGACAAACTTGCTTAACATGAAGTTTATGAGTCAAGAAGTCAAAATGAGATTTATTTTTAGCCCCAAGTCAGTGTAACAAACAAGTCAAAGACTACAATGGGAACTAACTTCTCTAATTTGAAGAAAACCAAGTACCATGAATCATTAGGGCAGAATGAAAAAAAAAAAGGTTCAAAAATATTTCCTCTTATCCAGTCAGAAAAGTGAATAATACGCTTTCAATCTTTTCTGCAATCTTTATTTATCAGGTCCCCCAATTCCATGCCAAGTAACTTGAGGTATATTATTTAGTTAGAAATTGAATTTGAAAATTCAAAAAAAAAAGTTTTATATAAATTCTTCCTTCAAATTTCATTTCACTTCTGCCTAAAGTCTTTTGAAAATACCCTAGACTGTTTCTTATAGATTTGTAGTATTATGGCCTGTTTCACTAACATAAAGTCAAAAATGAATGCATCACTTATTATTCTTAAATCAGGTACGTTATGAGGAATTACATACTTGATATACTAAATTCTTAAAGAAGAAAAAAATCTATGAGCTGTTGCTGATTTTATGCATGTTTTACATACTTTAAAAATGATCAGTTCAAGTATTGTACTAAGCTTGGAAAGTAGTAAGTTGTATGTGGAAATGGATCAAATAATACCAGCATAAAGAGACCATAATATAGAATATCCGTTAGCATGTGGCTGAGCCCACCCCAAAAAGGACTGGCTAATTTCAAAACTTTGCTTCCCTGTCTTCTCAATTTTATTAATCTCACCTAGCCCATGACTAAATAATCACAGGATATTCCCAATATTAAATTCTCTACCACATCTTTTGCTAGTTAGAAATTTCAGCCTCATATGATTGGGTAAGAGTCTCCTTAAAATATATTTTACTCCTCCCTCACTCTTGAGTTACAAACATTTAGAAAATAATTAATAATTGGATGAATGACTTCTTTAAGCTGATTATAAGAAGCTGACCTTTTACAATATGACCTACTTATATGTAGAGGGTAAATAATGTTTATTATGTGTCATAGATTAAAAATCACAAATGGTATCTTCAAAAAGTTAGTAGCTTTACCCTGGCTTTAGGAAATCTTCCATTTCTCAATATGCATAAAGGAAACATTGTCAGCTTTCCTTTAATGGTTCACCTAGTCACTGATTCTAATCCACAGCATGAACAAGATCCATCTCTGATGCCAAGAAGACACCACCACCAAACCAGTTATACCTCTTGAGAGTAATTATCTTCCTAAGTTTAAAAAAAAAAAAAAATCTGCTATACATTTAGGAGCCAAAATAAAGTTTTAAAGTCCCAAATTTAACAAGGAGATCTGGTTCTTTAAAACAAGGGCTTCCATTTATAAAATAACACCATGTTTAAAAAGTTAATATTCCACCCTGCAGGACTCACCTGAAATAATTAATAAATACATGTGACATTTAAATTCAGGAATAGAGAATCTTCCAGTGAAAAAATACATATACCTATTAGCATAACATATTGCCATTAAAAATGTTCTTAAAATAACTAGATAGGTAGATGTTATCCAAATAGTTAATAATTATACAGAAATAAGCCAATAAATAGCGGATATATATCTTAATTACATTAATGAAGTGTCTTCCAGGTACTGTATGTCTGTTTGTAATTATTTATAACTTAAAAGCATTTGAAAGAGAGCTAATTCGGGAATTCCTTAACTCTGAAAATATCTGCTTTAAATGTGATTTCATGGTTTGTCATTTTAAGGATGTTGGTAATGGAGGAAGGCACAACTTAAATGATGTGATCAAATAAGAAGATTCTGCTATCTATCCTAAGTACTGAAGCAACTTGGTTCAGCTCCATGGTGAAGGATTCTTGGTACTCTGTTCTTAAAATCTCAACTACCGGAAACAATGAAACCAACTCTTGTAAGGCAGCCCTTACAACAGCTTTTCATCTACACATCTCTTAGAAGCAATATGCTATAGTTCTTAACACATACCTGGAATTAAACCAAACCCAGGCTTTCAAGTGATAAGAGCTGATATTTTTAGCCACCGTATAGATATTACCTAAACCAGTCCTCAAACTTCAGCATGTATGAGAATCACCTGAAGGGCTTATTAAGACACAGGTTGCTGGGTTACAACTTCCCAGTTTCTGAATAGGAGGTCTGAAGTAGAACCTAATAGTCTGCATTCTAACATGCTCCCAGGTGATGGGTGATGCTGATGCTTTCTGGTTTGGGGGCACCACATTTTTGAGAACTACTGATCTTAACAAAAACCTGTTTTGTTAAAATAACAACCCAACTACAATACACAAGATATTAATATATGGGAGGTTATTATCTAGTTCATCAGCAAAAATGAATTACTGCTAAGTATTGTAGCCTGAACTAGAAACAACAAAGAAAATCTTAATAATTCTGTCACTAAAAGAAATACAAAAGTCCGCATTTACAAAAATAGAAAAATGAGTGATACTCTATATTCCAGAAAGGTATTCAGCATAAAATTCCTTTGAAGAACACTCTATATACATTTCCATAAATAAGACAAGAGCCAACTATATACTATACCAAATCCATTTCCAACTTTCACTAAAAAATTGTGTAAAACCCAGTGATTCAGAACAAACAATACCAACAACAAAAACGACTCATAAGTAGTAAGAAGAGAATTTCATCTTTAGATTTGAGGATCTGACAAATGCCTCTCTTTAATGCATTCCAGACCACCTATACAGACACTCAGGGTTGAGAAACATAATGCCAATGTTTTCTAAAGAGCTAATTCACTGCCTGGAGGAACTGCCTATTCATAAGAACAGAAAGACTGATTCAAGCTGGCTACACTGGAATTCTGATTTGCTCCTTTTAAGAAATAAAAAGATTTCAAAGCATTAGGGAAGGAATAGAGAAGTTTTCATAGGTGGGAAAGAATGTCAGGCAATAGGGAATGCAGAAAAGAGTTAACAGCAAGAGGAACCAGATGAGTCTACTGCTTTATCAAAATTCAAATACAGTATGTTAGGGAAAAATAGGTTTTATGTCTCGTTGCTCCTTAAAAAAAGAAAAAAGAGCAGTATCATTTACTTTAATATTTTATATATTTAAAAAATCTTGTTAGAGTACCTACAACTTTAAAATTCACTTTTTAAGGTGATATTTCATTTAGGCATCAGTAATAAAGAAAACTATGAACAGTGTAAAGACATTTATATATAAAGATGGGAGCCATGTAATTGCCTTAACAATAGAGAAATGTTAAATCAATTATTTCATGGTATGAATGTGCCACAATTATGTAGCCAAAGGAAATGTTTTGGAAGAATTTTTAATGACACTGTGAAATACAGAATAGAGTTTTTTAAAAGCTGGAAACAAAACTGTCAATACATTTGAGAGTCTAATGACAGAAAAAAATGCAAGAAATGCACAAAATTTTAAAAATGATTACCTCTGTATTGTGGAACATACTTTTAAACTTTCTATATAATAAGCATATGTCACTATTATTTAGAAAATTATTTTCCCATTATAAGCAATATTTGAATGTATTCTCAAGAAATGAATATTTTTATCTTAAAAGACTCAAACAATGCAGAAGCATTTAAACAAAGTGACTTTTTGCTCCCCACTTCGGCACCAAGCCCAGAATCCCGTCTCCACAGGTGACCCCTGTAAAGTCTAGTGGGCATCCTTCTTGTCCCATTCCTTTGCTTTATTTTCAGATATAGGTCAATATAAAGAATATTTCAAACACATATAGGTTTATACTTTGTTATGTTCTGTAACTTGCTGTTTTTAGTGAAATTTCCATGTCAACATATATACGTAGGTCTACTTAATTTTTTTTAAAGATTTTATTTATTTATTTGAGAGAGCGGGGATGGACAGAGGGACAAGCAGAACTCCCGCTGAGCGCGGAGCCCAAGGCAGGGCTCCATCCCAGGACCCCGAGATCGTGACCCCTGCCAAAGTCAGATGCTTAACTGAATGAGCCACCCAGGCGTCCCTACTTCATTTTTTTTTTAATTTATTTTAGAGAGAGAGCACGTGCACACAAGTGGGGGGAGGGGCAGAGGGAGGGAAAGAGAGACTTTCAAGCAAACTTCTCACTGAGCGCAGACCCCCACGCAGGGCTCAATCCCTTGACCCTGAGATCATGACCTGAGCCGATATCAAGAGTCAGATGCTTAACCGACTGAGCCACCTGGGTGCTCCTAATTTTTTTTAATAGATTTTTTCAGAGCACTTTTAGGTTCATAGCAAAATTGGATGGAAGGTACAGGGGGTTACTTGGAAACTGCCCCCACAGACAAAAGAAACAGTTTCATCTTCATTTTCAAATGAAGCCCACCATTTTCAACCCTCCCCCCCAGAGTGGTCCATTGAACCTTCAATGACACATTATCACCCAAAGTCCATTGTTTACATTAAGATTCACTCTTTGTGTTGTACATTCTATGGTTGTGACAAATGCATAATGATATGTATTCATTGGTATGGTATCATACAGAGTATTTTCACTATCCTTCACATCTTTTTTTTTTAAGATTTTATTTATTTATTTGAGAGAGAGAATGAGATAGAGAGAGCATGAGGGGGGAGGGTCAGAGGGAGAAGCAGACTCCCCGCTGAGCAGGGAGCCCGACGCGGGACTTGATCCCGGGACTCCAAGATCATGACTTGAGCCGAAGGCAGTCGCTCAACCAACTGAGCCACCCAGGCGCCCTTTCCTTCACATCTTCTGTGCTCTGCCTATTTATCCCTGCCTCCTGCCAACCTCTGGCAACCAGTGATCCTTTTAATGTCTATATAGTTTTGTCTTTACAGAATGTCACGTAGTTGGATTCATACATTATGCAATCTTTTTAGATAGGCTTCTTTCATTTAGTAATATGCATTTAGGCTCCTCCATGTCTTTTCATGGCTTGATACATTTCTTTTAATCACTGAATAACAGTCCATTGT